CTTATATACGGTTTATATATATATATATATATATATATATATATATATATTATATATATATATATATAATTATATACATATATCGTTATATATATATATATATATATATATATATATATATATATATATATTATATATATATATATAAATATATATAACTATATTCGAAAAACCCTATATTTGATTTATAATCAAATCAATCTCGATATAAAGGTTTTAAACAAATATATATAAACATGGACTACAAAAAAATCGCATATATGCATATCTGATTATAAAAAAAACCCCGATATATAACAATATAATAACAAAAGAGTATATAATTATATATATATATATATATGTATATAGACAAACCCTGTTTGTCTGGCTATATATATATATATATATATATATATATATATATATATATAATCAGTGTTCGAATCCAAAGTCACGAAAAGAAAGTTAAACGAAGTAAACAAAAAGTAAAAAGAATTATGAATTGAAGTAATAGAAAATTAGAAAAAAACATTTAAATAAAGAAAAGTAGAAAAATAAAAATTACTGTAAATAAAAGTAAAAAAATACTAACTGAAGTAAAGAAAATTAGAAAAAATAAAAACTGATATAAACAAATTACAACATAAATCGAATCAAACAAAATATAAATCGAAACAAGCAATAGTAAAATATGAATTGAAGTAGACAAAATTAAAAAATATGTATATAAGTGAACAAAATTCAAATAAATATAAACTTAAATAAAGAAAAGTAAGAAAAATATAAATTGGAGCTGACAAAAATGAAAAATATATGATTACAAGTAAACAAAAGTAAACATATAAATTAAAAAAGTATAAAAAATAATAACAGATATAAATAAAATAGATCAATATAAATCGAATCAAACAAAAGTAGAAAAATATAATTTGATGTAAACAATAAGTAAAATATATGAACTGAAGTAAATAAAATTGAAAAAATAGTAAGTGGCCAAAATTACAAAAATATATAAATTGAAGTAAACAAAATTATAAATTAAGCAAAAATATATAACTTGCATAAAAAAAATAGAAAATATAAACCCGAAGTAAAGCAACTACAAAATTGTAAATTGGAGTAAACAAAATTGAAAAATATTAATCGAATTGAAGTAAAACAGAAAAATATAACGTGAATTAAGTAAAAGTAAAAATATATAAATTGAATAAACAAAAGAAACAAAAGTACAAAAATATAAATTGAAGTAAACAAAATATTAAAAATATAAATTGAACTAAACAACGAAGAAAATATGGATGAATGTAAACAAAAGTACAAAAATATAAATTGTAGTAAACAAAATAGAACAATACAAATTAATGTAAATAAAAAGTATAAAAAATATGAACTCAAATAGAGAAACTAGAACTATAAATTGAAGTAAACAAAGTGGAAAAAGCATTTGCAATCCAATGTAACTTTGTGTCATGAACGAAAAAGTTAGCAGCACAAAACAGTAGAAGGTGAAAATAGAAAGAAAATACTAAAACTAAATGAATTAGAAAAAAAAAGCAGGAAAATTAAATGGCAAAATATTAGATAAGAAAATAGAAAATAAATTGTTGACGACAATCGTGATCAAGTAAAAAATGCAAGCCAATGCACATTACAAATTTTGTTCATAAGATAAACAGAGTGGAAAGGTAAGTCGGAGGAGACAGGAAAATCAAGTACGATTTAGTAATCAGTGTCTGTAGAAAGGAGGATGAACAAAAGAATGAAATGTATTTAAATTATTGTCTAGTCATTAAAGCATCTTATGTTGCCGTGTATAAGTCGACATTGACTCATTTGGTTCATTTACCTCACCCACAAGTAATTGTAATTAGAAGTATAAGTCAAAATGTACGTAGGAACGAATGAATCTTTGCGTTAACTGTTACATGAAATGATTTATAATAAATGCGACGTTAGCACGAAAGGAAGAATGAAAAATGTTTGAGTCATCAAATGCAACTTGCTAATGTGTGTACAATGAAGAACAGCACTTTTCGCTTCTGCCTTTTGATTGATTGATTCGTCGTTTTCAGCTTGTCAATCATTTGCAGGTTATTTAAAGTCAGAAAATATTTATTTTATTATAAGAAATTTTTTTAGATAATAATGATTTTGTAATACAAGTTTTACTAATTAGCTCATAGCTGTGGGGGAAAAGATTTGACTTCAAAATTTTCACAAGGGTAATTGCGCGTAAGGGAATATAACTGTACTTGGAAATCGGCAATCCCAAGCTGTTATCCATTGCACCACCCACAAATCCATGCTTACAGCACCTGGAATTCTCAAGCAGTCACCCATCATAATCAAAATTATAGTTTAAATAAATAGACGTCGTCAAACAAGGTTCGCGTTTAAAATTACACTACAATGATATGAGTTGAAAGATTGGAGCTTGTATTTGCAACACGGTTACTCTGCAGAAAGGTTTAGATAATTTGACAGATGCAGGGCATACTGAACGTAATAGGGGTAGAAGTAAATATTTAGTAACGTACATAAGGAGCTTGTGTCAATGGATTGCAAAATAGGAGTTGGGAGGGAAAGTAAATGAAGTCGTGGAGAGATATGATCGCTGACGTGTTACAGAATGCGAAGGTTGCGCCGGGAAGGGCGAAGTATTATGACAGTGATGTATTGCCTTTGTCTATGTTTTGGATGTAAATCCAAAACAGCGCAAAGTTAACAAAGAGTCACAGGAACTTTGAGGCGTCGATACTCTTCCCACAGCCTGGTTCGAGAGACAGGCTAAGACCACACGCGGAGGGACACTAAGCCAACGGGTAGGTATGTGTTCCCTTGAAGTTCTTCTGTTCCTTTCCTCTAATAAAACTAGTAAGAAAAATAAACCGCCTTTCGTTGATACCATCTATGGAGTAGCGTTGGGGTCCAGTGACGACACGTAATGAAATTATTTAGAAAGGCATATGAAATAAGGTTTACTAATGGGAGGCACGGGGGATAGCGACTCGGATTGAGGAATCGGAGAGCCGAGTTCGAATTCCAGTTGAATCCATTACAATTACTTACGTGCTAATACCCTTGGAAAAAATATGAATCCTCTTCTTCTCCTTCCCAGCTATGGATAAATTGTAGGCCAGACTGGGTTCTATAGCCTTGGATGGCAATTGGTCTACCGCAGAAAGAAATGACAACCTATGTGCTTCGTCAGTCATATATCCCGCATGGCACATAACTGAATGAATGTGAAATTGACATATGTGGTTTAAATTGTGTATATTTAGGCAGTATATTTTCATCCAAACAGGTTTGGTTAAATAATTTAGACATATGTCGATTAGTTTTCGTTGTGATCCTTTCAAGTACGCGAATAATTTTTCTGATAGATTTAGAAAATTGAGTAAGAAACATACCAAAATTTAGTTAATTATAAACCGAAATTTAATTCATTAAATAATTATTCCCAATGAACTTTCATCTGTGGTATCTATACTTTATGTATTTAAGTGCAGTAGGAAATTGTTGGTAAGGACTCATTATTTTAGTTTAATGGCTAGATGTAACCGTAAGTTCAATGTTAACTGTTTCTTCTATCGCACTTCTTTCTTGTGGCACTTTCTTCCGGCTTCTTGATTGCCAGTTAAATTTTATCTTAAATTTTGGTTTATATTCAACTATATATTAGACGGATATTACTTGAAAATACATCTATGTTACATAAAAACAATAACAAGCAAAAACCTAAAATCATTGAAGTCCTTATATAAGAGAATTAAAGCCCAAAATAAATAAAGGCAGCTATGAGTATAGCAACAAAGCCCTTAAATGCTTATGAAAAAAAATTATATACGTATGATCATCAATAATTTAAATGCAATATCAATCGTCATCTAGTCTTCTTAATTCTTGTTCTTTCCATGTTCTTTCTCCTTAATAGTTTTTTTTTTCCTCGTATTCTGTAACACCCAGTAATTCCTTGCGTTTTATTGGCTTTATTACCTTCCTTGGGATCAAACAGACTGCACAGTATAACAGGGACTGTTGGACAACATCTGTTAGAAAAAGAGCAAATGACGCAATTCACTGCAACAGGAATTTGGAAACGGCATGCTTTTCTACACATCGGAAGATCCATTACGAACATTTCCGAGTGTTTCGGAGTCAATCTGAGGAGAGTGCAGAGGATTCGGAAACAGTTGGATGCGTCTTATAGTGATTACGGAGGTGTTTAGGGTGATCACTAGTTAAGGCGACGTTATGCCTCCATTCATCTTCCCACAGGGTCTCAGACTCAATACGGAGGTCTACATCAAGTGCCTAAGGAAGTAGTACTTCCCTGGGTCAAGAGAGTGTCTGCTGGAAGACACTATGTCTAGCAACAGGATTCTGCACCATGTCACACAAGCAGGAGAATCCAGTCATTGCTGTCAGACACTTTCTGCGACCACGTCACCCTTTACATGTGACCACCTAACTCCTAAGACAACAACCCTCTTGGTTATTATGCGTCGAGCGCAGCTGTGGCCAAGGTCAACAAAACATCGAATAAGACCAAAGAACTGAAAGCAAGAAATATTGTAGTATTCACCAACTTAAACAAGTGCACCATTCAGAAGAGTTGCAGGGAATTTTGAAATCCTCTGGAGGCCGTGGTTGAAGCAAATGGCGATTATATTGAATAAATTTATTCTTTAGTATTTCAAGATATTTTTGTGTCATTTTGGCAAATATATCTGTTAATATGAGATACCAATGTTATTTTTCATTTTTGTATAATTCAGATGACAATTTATCTATCGCACGCTGTATAACCAACACCGATAAAAGAAGACGAATTGAAAATATGTTTCATAACATTTTGATATATTTTCTGGAAACTAACAATAGACAGCGGGCTCATACGTGGATTTTGAGAACATTTCCCCAAGTGATATCTAGTGTAACTACTCTGAAAGACAGCTTTAGAACATGTAGAATTTTGTCAAGTTTTTAGATATAATTTATGAAGAGTTGGTATTTTATACTGATAGATAGATAGATAGATAGATAGATAGATAGATAGAGAGAAAGAGAGAGAGAGAGAGAGAGAGATTGATCATCTGTACAATATCAATTGATGGGTAAGTCTTTTCTCATTGGGTTCTGTCTTCGTTTTGGATTTAAATTTGATATGTCCAGTAAATATATCAATAAATCGTGACTGTATTTATATTAATATAGTTAAATCGATGCAAATGCAATTATTTTTCCCAACAAACATTTTTTCTCAAAATAATCTGCCTTGTCTATGCATTAATCCAAGATTTCTCCATTAATCACAACTAATAATTGTGTAAGACCACAGAGTTACTGACCCATCCTTGTATTACCGGATTAATTTAATTTACGCACAATAAGAAATGTCTTACTATTTTTTTTATTTTTACTTTGTTGAAAAATAAAAGAAAAATAAATAATTTCCTAATAATTATATTGTCTCCTGACAAAAACACTTTCGCAAAACAAGTAAAGTAAAAATCGATGTAAAAATTTATTAGAGTCACCCTCGTTTTTTCAGGAATCGTTATGTTTCCTATGCAAATGCATAATCAGTCGATCAAGAGGCAAACGAACGCAAAAAAAAACAGTTGGCTTCAAGAAACATACTTATTATATTTGTACACGACGAAAAATATCCCAGATAAAGAAATATTTAATGAAGAGGAGAAAAATAAGAAATTCTGCTAACCAGAATATCTTTCTTTTTGTATGGAATTCGACCAAATAAATTTTGGTCGATATCAAGACAGGTTTTACTCAACGATCAACCAATATCCGAGACCTTGAATGAACTCAGCGAGATCATGTGCACTCTGTCCGATCCCCCCCCATCCGCCACTGTTTAAAAAATAGTATTGAGAAAAATCGATTTTATCCCATCTGTTATTAAATGATCTTTTAGATTTTTGCGTAGCAAGGAAAACAGGATGATCTCTTCTTTGGGTTTATTTCTGGATGCCGAAAGGAAATAAATTTGTTAAAGAGAAGAAAACATTTCCCATGCAAAAAAAAAACAATTCCAAACGATTTTGATGACATTCCTCTATCTACTGATGCAGCCAATCATTCATTACATGTTTACTAAGATTTTTACATGCAAGTATGATTAGAACATGACTAAAGACTGTGTGTACGCTATCCCATGCAGTTGCGGAAAGGAATATAAAGGAGAGACAGACCGCCCCCTCAAGGTAAGGCTTCAAGAACACCAGAAAGCTGTAACACGAGGGGAGGTAGAAAAATCAGGCGTGGCTGACCACATATGGAAAGAGAAGGGAGATCACCGCCCTCTGTGGGATCATGTTGAGATCATTGACAAGGAACACCATAGAAAAATTCGTAAACTTAAGGAATCAGCACATATGCTCTCCTGAGTCGACCAAGCATAGAAATAAATACAATATGGGAACCAGTAATAAGAAGTGCCAGAGAAAACCAATATATAACAACAAAGTTGCAATATGACCTCTGGTAAAAACATGAAATGTTAACGGCAAAATTGCAATATGAACACTGGTAAAAATAGTTGCTGAAGACATTAGGTTTATAATACCCAGAAATTCATACCCAGACACAGTGGATAAAGGCGTTGGTTAGATCCAGTGACAGGACCCAAAGAATGTGAGTTCAATACCCGGTTAAGTCAGTGGAGAACTTTCAGAGGGAAATTAACAGGAGATAACTGATAACTGACATCCATCAAACATGGCACGTGGAACTAGAACAGTGAGCGAAATAAAGGGTTCGGTTCGACATTCCAACCACCTGAAGAAGGCCGGAGCGTACAACGGCCGAAACGTTGTGATAGATATGGCGAAAAAGATGAGGACAATATACCGAATAATGTAAATAATGTACATAATACCTCATCTCAGAAATATAGACAGACTCTGAAGTATGAAAACTGTTTCGCTTGCCTATACAGAAGGATATATATAAACAAAACCTTTTTAAATATTATAAAAGTTACTTGGTGTTCAATTTAGTATGTATAGTCGATGTACATTGATCTCCATACAGAAGCCAAAATAAAAAATGCTCATACCCCGTAATTTTATTAATTCTAAAAAACAATTGATAATTTCATAATCTGGAATACTTTATTCATATACTACCATCGATTAAGCAGTCGAATTTATGAATCTCAAAGTATTTCTTTTACATTTTAAAACACGTCATATGACAATATTTGTTTTGGCTTTCCTTGGGCATCAACGTATGAGACAAAATTGGATCCCCGATTAATTTTATATGGCAAATTGAACCCCCTAATAATTTTATAAAATGTAAAGATTTTTAAATTCGTCATCTAGAGAGCTTAACCTATAACGTGGCCCGAAAGTCTTGTCACCCTTATCAAAATGTAATGAGAATAGGCAAACAAGTAATATACTAATACAAAGCACATGTACAGGATTAAGTTTATTCACTTTCATTGACGCTGTCTAACATCGAGAAAGTCTGTATCAACAGCATAATTTTCGTGTCAGCCATCTGAAATATATTATGTAAGGGTGACAAGAAATATCAGCTATCTGAAATATATTATGTAAGGGTGACAAGAAATATCAGCTGTCTGAAATATATTATATTCGGTGATTGTATATTAATATGAAAAACAGTTTTGAAGAAACACGATTATTACTTTTTCAGAAGTTGTTCATGATATATTTTTTTTAAAAAAGTGGTGGTAAATTATTAAGTTAAATTTACTGAATTTAATTATGACATAAACTTTGAGAAAAAATACTTAATAAATGAAATTTTCAGTAACTCCACAATGGAAAAATGTTTCATATTTTTTTCTATTTCCGAAAGACGGTAAAATTAATAAAATAAACCAGGTTAATTTGCAGTTTACCACCCGCGCTCAGATCGCATTAAAAATTCCAGAATACTTACATTTATGTGTAATTGTACATCATTCATTCGAATCTGGCTACCGTTCTAGAGTTAGCAACAGTAAAAGTTCAGATTCATTCGCGTCGCGGCAGCCATTACTGGGGTTGTTTGCATACATTTGCTGCGGATTAGTTATGAGTAATATTATCTTGATTATTGCGCACGTAGCGCACACTTGAACGTGTGTACGTAAATAGTTCTCTTACGCAATAGTTGAGACGTGTAAGATCAGTAAAAAAAAACCCTTAACTACATTCTTCCGCGTTTAGCTTACCTCAGCGAATGTATGCAAACAACGCCAGTAATGGCTACCAACAACGGCGCGAATGAATCCAAAATTATACTGTCGATAACTCCTAAAACGGTAGATTTTATCAAATTTATCTAGCCAGATTCCAATGAATGCACAATTACGAATAAATGTAAATATTCTGGAATTTTTTTAATGCGAACTGAGCGCGGGTGGTAAACTGCAAATTAACCAAAAACATACTTTAAGAATAGATAAGAAAAAATGTAAGTACCATTAAAATGGATGCGTTTTTTGTTGTTGTTGTTTTTTTGTTTTGTTTTTTGTTTTGGTTTTTTACGAAATAATGAAATAAATAACAAAATTGCACCCGTTTTAAAAATGTATAAAGAATCGGATTTAGTTGAAATCTTCTGGACTTATTCATTAATGAATGAATTGGATACTAAATACGTTATTTTATTAGAAACCTTTGTAGAAATGTTTTGGGAGGTTCTGTAACACCCTCCTTCCGATACATCGTCAATACTTTTAAAATTGGTGGGCGATAACAAATATTTCTTTTATAAAGAAAACTCTCTGAAAATATTATGTCAGTAGAAAAGATTTCTAAATATTAAATAAGAAAATGTTGAAAATTTTTCCTGAAGCCTTGCAAAAATAATTCAATAAAATTCAAAAAATATTCTTTTTCGAGAATTGGTGCATACATAATTTAATAAAAGACATTATTTTCTTTCAGATTTGACAGGTAAAAATCTACACAATATTTATTTTTAAAGAACAGTTTGTAATTTCTCAGTACGATTTTGTTATTCTTGCTGTTGCTAATAACAAAAGAGATCTCTTTGTATTAAATAAAAATATGTTTAAAAAAATCGAAAAATGTAACATTTGCTGACATTTATGCGTTAGAAATATTTTAAAAAGAAGTTTATTTTATTTATTATTTTCATACTGTTAGATTATATTTGGTTATGTAAGATGAAACAGGGAATAATTCAACAATTTTGAATTATCTCCCCCTTGTGGTTATATCGTTAAAAAATAATTATATATGATGTCTGGAAATGTCCAGAATAATTTAAGACATTGGAAGCTAAAAGAAAAAAAAAGTGAAGGCAATCAATTAGCAGCGTAAACTTCATTTTCCTCAGTTTTTTTCTTTTATAGCAGCACCTTTTGTTTCTTAATAAATGTTCTTAAAATAATTAAAAATACCTTATTTCATACAGTTAAACATTTCATGACCTTAAATAATTAAAAAGTAAATACATAATAAATTTCCAAAACAGAATAAATTTAGTAAATAAAAATATTATTTATTGGATTAATTTTTTAAAACTATTTTCATATTCCTATTAACATATATATATTCTAAGTTTCTCAAAGAAATAATTATATTTATGTTATAAAGAATATTTTCCTACCTTGATAGACGCAGAAATTTAAAAATGATTATTTTTAAACAGAAATGATACCGGTTTCACTATTTTGGCAGTTGAGTCTTTCGTATTTTATTTTGTAAAATTGGGAGTTGTAAGTGTTAACTTTTACTGTTTGATCTTAGAACTTGCTGGCAATTGTAATATACCTTCCTGTATTCAAACGCGATTTTAGCCATATTTTAAACGTACAAAAATTAATATTTTTCCAAATTTCACTTAATCAATCCTTAATTTTAATAATTTTCTTTGAAAGTAATATCTGAGATAAAGATTTGACTTTTAAAAGATTTTTAAATTGTATTAAAATGGCGGAACAATGATTAATTGACCGTAAGAACATTTAAAAATGTCTTAAAGCATGATTGAAATGCATAAATTATTGTCCATTTTTATAGATTTGCATTCAAACAGAATTAAAAAGAGATATTTAAATTAGTTTAACTTTGTTTTTCCTTTGTTT